GGCTGGCTTTATTCCTTTGATAACTATGTAAGTTTAAAAAGCTAAAGCTCTAATCTGTTCTTAGAAATAATGATCCGTACACATACATAAACTCAAACAATGTGCAGTATATTGTATATATGTATTTACATGCAATATAATGTGTATGTACAGTCAAACTGTAATAATTCTACCTAATAAAACTGAAAAAGAAAAAATTCACTTGTATTATAAAAAAAACTCAACTAAGTGTAAGATCTGTGAATCTCACTGAATATAAATTTCATCTTAAAAAAAAAAGCCCTTGTGAAGGCTTGGCTAGGACAAGGGGTTGGGGGTGAGGTCTTAGGACTTTCTTAGCGCTCCCCAAATCAGACTGTATGTCCGTTAATGTCTAATCACTTCAGGTCCATGACAGCCAAAGCCCAGTGAGGCGACGGGGATAAAATTCAGGGAGGTACTCTAGGGCTCTCCTATATGACCCCCTCTCTGCCTCAGCCCCAAGAGGACAGGCTGGTGACTCAAGTGACAATAAGAATGTAAACTTCACATGCCAGGCCCCTCTCTCTCCCCGCCTTCCCTGACCCCCCCTCCCTACATGCTTTTTCCTGCCTCTGAACTTGCACAGCCCCTCGTGCCACTGGTTCCCATCACCTGTTTTAGTTACTGCATTTCTGCCAGTCACTTCTCATGTTTCCTTTCTGACCAGAGCATTTGCTTTCAGAAGCAAATTAAATTACTGAGATTTCGTACACTAATGATATTGTGACAAAGCCTAAATGTGGCTTCAAAACAACCTTTGCACCTGAAACTTCTGGGAAGCAATATATCCTGTCACATTGTATTTGGGCTTAAGGCTTTACAGGGGATTTTAACGTTCCTTCTGGAGATTTACAAACAGGTGTAAGGCGTATATTCAGAGTGTAATATGAACTAAAGCTTTAAATTCAAGATGAAATCCTGGAGTAATTTTTCAACTCCTAAAGCATTAAGGATATCAGAATAGTTCTGAATTTGATATCAATGATAAATCCTTTAAGTTGGAAGGAATCTTAGAGGCAATTAGTGACGGCCAATCTGTCTTCTAGTCTAGAAGAATGTTTCTATAACATCCTTGAGTTTGTGAAGCCTCTGCTTGAAAGGTATGGTTTTCTAAAGCAATGTAAAGCAATATTGGCAGCTCCAGCCATCAAAAGACAGCCTGGTGCAATAAAAAGTAGTGAAGGTTAAGTGTATTTTGCCACAGTGTTAAAAGTGGAGGGAAAAACAGTTGCTATGCTGGGAGAAATAAAACATATTGCAGTCCCAGCTCTGCTAGTTGGCTCTGAAACTTTGGACTATTCACATCTCCTTTAAAAGAGAGTTGGACTAGATCATCCCTCAAAATCCCCTTCTACAGCTAACAGTCTGTGTTTCTAATGCTGTTTCTTTTTGAGCTTAAACTTGCCTTTTTTTTCCCCCTTGTATACAAGGATTCCAACTTATGGAACTAAAGGCACAGATCAAGTCAGCTCCTGTAAGTAAGTAAATGCAGAGAAAGAAATCTGTCATCAAAAATGTCTGTCTTAACCAAATGTCTTTTGTCTGGGTGAGGGGAGCACTGAAGGAAACTCAAATCCTATAGGTAGTTGATCTCTATTTCCTGCCAACAGTGTTTTACTTGGCTCCTGAGAAAGCCCTCAGGAAGCAAATGTTTTCCAACTCCAGAGCATGTGCTAGAATCTAGAAACCTTTGTCCTACATCCAGCGGGGCTGGACCTTAAACTCTGCACTTTGTGTAAGGTATACCAGACAAGAAAAAGGAGTCACTTTGATTCTTTCCTCTCCCTCACTCTCAAAGTGTTACAAAGTCTAGTAAATTCTACCTTAGCATGTCTTTCAAATCTACCCTCTTCTCCTGCAGTTCCTTCTGCTACATCCTTCCAAAGTTGGAGAGCAAGGATTATACCTAGTAAATTTCTGTATCCCCCTTACCCAGCCCAGGGTCTTATTAAATATCAGAGGAACTATTGGAAGAAGGGCTATCTTCACTCCACAGGCTCATGGGGCCATTTACCCTCAAAGGGGATCAGGAAATAGAAAGGCAGGGAAGCTAGAATCTGTAGTTTTTCAAAGACAACCACAATGCACTATTGGGTGCTCCAAGTGTTTTTCTGCTGGGTGAGGGGTTAATTAGTGGATAAGCGGCCTGAGGGGTTGCTAACCCAAGAGGCAGCTAAATAAGGTAAGGGGGGGCGCACAAGTCGGGTTCACAGCGTTATCATGTTAGTGAGGCCCCGCGGAGCCTTAGAAAGGGTTCCCAGTAACAACCTGGCTCGGAGTGGCAGGTGCTGTACCTTCCCTCTGCCAAGGTCTCCACACAAGTCGCGTCAGGGTTGGACCATATGGCTTCTCCGGTGCCACGCCCCAATCCTGGGATCTCGGTCCAGCCCTTCTGGGCTACAGGTGCGATCCAAAGAGGAGGGTGACTGGCGCATCACAAACGCAGCGAGTCTGAGGCGGAGCAGCGGCTAAGGGAGCCCGAGGCTCACGACTCCGGGCCCCAGACTCACAGCGCGCCTCCCTGCTCTAGGCCAGTCCCCCAGAGGATTCTAGGGTTCGCCTCTACTTTCCCCGCCTGGCTCACCCGCAACGACCCGAGGTCCTGAGGCGGATCCCGCTCTCCAGCAGCCCGGGACTCTGCGCTGCCGCGGGGAGGTCGCGCCGGACTCCCTGCGCCTGGGTCCGCCTCTCCTCCGAGCCCGCGGGTCCTGACTTCTGATTGGCTCCTCGAGACCCCCCGCCTCCAATCAGCGCAGACTGCTGGACGGCGAGGCTCGCCCAGGCAGAGCCGGCTTTTCCCCGCCCCGCCCTGGGCCTGCCTAGGAGGCTGCGAACAGAAGTTCCTCGCACCGGCTTCTGATGGGTTTTCTGCAGTCCTGCCCCGCCTTCTCTCGGTGGTCACCCCAGTCAGAACGCGGCTACCTCGCTACAAAACTGGACTTCTTGTTTCTGATTGGCTTTTCGAGATTCCGCCCCGCCCCTTGGTGAGTAGCCATTTAGCAGGCTTTCGGCCCTTGAGTGGCACCTCGCAGTTCCTCCCAGTCCACGTCGCCGTGGAGGCTTTGTGGACTCCTTCTCCGAAGACTCTAGGTGTCTGGGTAGACTTCATCTCTGGTTTTTCTTTCCTCAGCGTCCCTTCCCCTCCTGCTGGAAACACGTATCCTGGAGGCTTCGCAAACGTGGCCCAGGGTGGCCTCAAACCCATCCAAGTCTCCAGGAACTGCAAGAGCTCTGCTCGGAGAACCTGGGAGTTGGGCCTGGCTTTCTGCACAGGACCTCGCTCTCCCGGGATACTTAAATGTTAGAACGTGAAGTTGTCTTATTTATCGGATAGGTCTACACGTTCCTTGTACTGATGGGGAAACTGAAGTCTAGAGGGCACAGAGCCTCAACCACACCTGGTCACTCAGCTTCTAGTTTCAGCTCTTGCCACAGCTCCGAGTTTTCTACTCTCAAGCCATTAAATTGAATATAATAGATGTAAAGTGGGAGCGGGATGTGAGATATAAAGGCCACCTTAACAGGTTCCCTCTGGGGTTGGGGTGATCACAGTTCAGATCTGGTGGGATGAATGATCCATGTACACTGAGAAATAGAACTGGTAGTTGGGTCAGAATCCTTATTTAGGTAGTTCAACCACTGGATTCTTCCTCTGCAGGAAAGTACAGAATACACATAATTATCAGGAGGCTGCCTTGGGAATCATGGCATAACAGCCAGGCTAGTTGGGTGACCTTAATCGTCAAGGGCACTAGGTTCTGGTAGAATTTGATGCACTCTGCGGCCAGGCAGAACCTGACAGTATAGAGCACTCTCTCAACTAGAGTTCTAGGTACCGCTCATGTCTCTGCAACTCGTTCTGTTTCTGTCCATGGACATCTCCCCCTCCTCCCCCTCCCACGATGTAGCACACTCTGGTTATCTGCAGTCACCCTGATTGACTGACTTGCATGTTTCCCAAATCTCTATCAACCACCAATCTTCTCTTGTCTTCCTGTAGATACTGTTCTTATCTGCTTCACTTCTCATTTCTGAGTAGCAAGGCTGTCTTTTTTACAGCCCCAGGGCAACATTCTTAATGTCTCACTCCTGTAGGTTGTCAAAGACCAATTTTGATTTGGATAATCTGTAACCAGAATCTGACTCCCATTGGGCCTGATAGGCCCTTCCGCCTGCAGGCCCTGAATTTTCTCCGCCCTCTCACTGTTCTACCTCTACTGATTGGTCTGTTGTTTGTTTTTTCTTCCTACTTTTCTGGGAATGAAGAAATGGGAATGAAGCTTGGATCTGAAAATTATGGTGAGAATTACAGACGGGGCTGCTAGTCAAGGCTGCCTCCTTTGGCATGGCTCTTTCTACTCATTACACCTTCTTTAGAAATTCCTTATTTTGTAACTTGCCTTTTTTTTACTTTAAACAAGCATTTTCTTGTCTTTAGGAATATCCTTAGACATAAATCTTTTGTGCATTTTTAATGCTGTCTTTCAGATACACTGCTCAGTCATATTACTGGGTCTAAGAGAATGAACATTTCTAAGGCTCTTCATACATGCTGCTAAATCATGCTTTTCCTCAATAACGTCAGTATTGGATATCACGATGATGAAAAAAGCTCCACCAATCTGACAGACATGTCATGTCATTGTTGTATCAACGTTTTTTCTTCTCTACCTGGCCACTGGGACACCTTAGTAGTGGCTCTCAAAGAGTTTAGTGATCAAAAATTAGAGTCAGACAAAATGAACAATTTGCAGAGTGAGATTAGAGATATTTTATATTATAAAACATCCTATAAAACATAATAGCCTAATAGTCTTATGATACGATATACTGCAGGGTATTTAAAATGGTAAAAACTCAGTGCCAATATGTGAACACAAAGTTCAGTGACAAGTGTCATTATACAGGCAAATTTGGGGGGATTACATATACACCTGCTTCTGAAATAAATGTCCCATTTTTGAAATGTACTAAACACAAGCTTTATAATGGACATTTTGGAAAGCTCATCAGTCAAACAATTCACATCAAATCAAAATAAGCGGAAGCTCATTTATATAGTTAGAAAGCAAAACTAGCATCAAGTGAAAACTATAAACTAACACAATGCAACGCTGGTGTTAAACTAGGTTTCTACAAAAACTCTGGATATTTACACTATCACCATGTGCTTGTGTTGTATTGGTATAAATTTTGTAAAGCAAATTTCTTAAGAATACTGAATTGGAATCCTTAGAACACTCTTAACAATACTTTGATAACTATGTAAGTCTAAAAAGCTAAAGATCTAATCTGTCCTTAGAAACAATCAGTACATATATGTAAACTAAAAAACGTGCAGTATTTTGTACATATGAATGTGTACATGCAGTCAAACTAATAATTCTAATAAAACTTAAAAAGGAAAAAAAATTAAAGGGTAAACTTTACAGATTAAAAAACTCTTAATGTATCAGTTTTGGTTTATGAATACCAAATTTTAGTAAACCTTACTTATTTAGGTTACTCTTAAAAAAGTGGGTGAAAGGGCAGATATTTTTTGATCAGTGGACAGCTGACCATATTTATAAAACATTACTTTAGGGTAGCGGCCCCTGGCCCTGGCTCCCAACTCCAGATGACTGGCTTCACGGGAGCACTGCTAAATAAATAGCCAGCGGAAGGAGGAAGTGACACCACCAGCTGGTCTTAAAGCAGAGGTTCACGAAAGCACAGCACCTCCATCCCGCATCCATCAAGAAAAGGCCATTTCCTCCGGTAATACACCCTTACAGCCTGAGACAAATTCAGTCCTAAATGTTCACTTCAACATAAATTACTTCCGTAATAAAATCCTATAGTATGGAGGTTAAGTAAGTACAGTGCAACTTGTGGAGGGTCCAATTTGCTTGTCAAATATGTATTTTGTTTAGTTGTAGTAACTAAAGTGCTATGAACAGCACAGATAAATTAGGAAGAACCAGAATCAGTAGCTATAAGCCACAAGGAAGCAGACTTCAGCTTGAAATAAAATCTATGTAACCAACAAAACTTCAGTCAACAGGATGGGCTGCCTAGAACAGTGGACGGTCTCCATCTCTTGAATGTTCAAGAACAGGTTGCCCAGTTACATGTTATCTGTACAAGGGATCCTGCTCTGGGTGAGAGATTAGTCTTTTCAACTCTAAAATGCGATTCCACGGACCTAAGTACCTGTTGGGACAACCTCTGAATCAAGGTCAACTTCACTTACTGTTTCCTCAAGGCTATCCTTATTGCAAACTTTATCTTGGTTTTCATTCTCCTATTGGGAATAACTAGTGTGTGAACACTTAGATAACATGCTTAAAGAGAAAATTCTGGATGGTATCCTATTTCTTTTGAAGTTACGGCATTTTATTTTCAATTACCGCAAAATATTTTATAACAAGAGTCAAGTATGTGATAATACAATTTTCTTTATTAAAAATAATTTACAGCATCAATAACATATACACAATTCTCAACTGAACTTTGCCTCCAATATATTTCTATACAATACTTAACATTGTTGAACTTAAAACTGTTATACTGGTTTGTTGGCTTTAAATAATAGACAATGATTTACAGTCACTTAAGTGAGAGATATATGGTTTCATAATTACCTACTATGTGTAAAACTGATAGAAACATCGGCACTATCACACTTTGGGGGGAAAAGTCACTAAAGAAGCCAAAGCCCGCCTCCTTCCCCCTCTCTTTTATTCCAAATCAAACTAAGATCGGGTCAACATCCAGTATCTGAGCATTTTCTCCTAAACCTAAAGGCAAAAGACAGGTGTCTTTTAATTCAAACATAGAAAAACGTCAGTCAAATAATTTCTCCTCATCCTGTCACTCAACACCGAGAAGGCGGATGCACAGAACACTGTTACCATGTATGTGAACCACTGCGATTCTGACTTAGGTCTTGGCTGTGCTTTCTGCCCATCAGGATCGCTGAAGTCTGACTACCAGTGAAAACCTGAGCAATCTGGCTAAAGGGATTCCAATATCTTTCGTTCAAATATCAGTTTGGAGGTAAGACAGGAGATAAAGACAGCTGTCACCTTGGAAACTCCCTAGGTGTGGCAATGGCAATTCAGTGGCTGGAGGACATTTTCACCAATTAGCAAAACCCAGAGGCATGGACTATGGCAATGGTATGTAGCATGATGTTTCTTAAAAGCTAACAAAATGCTTTTAATAATGACCTTTGAAATAGTACTTTTAAGTTCACAACACTGATTTGCTTCTCTCATGGGCCTATTATCTATTTCCTCCCACAATATTTATGTGTTTTTTTAACACACAAAATTATCCAGATGTACTCAACAAAGGAGGTAAGTAAAACAAACAAACAAAAAAAACCCAACAGGTGCCACATTTTTGCAAACACAAAATTTGGCTGGAGGCAGAATTATAAGGTACACTCTGGGACACACATCCATGACTCTCCTCCCCAACTGACAGCCATTGCTTATCAAGCTTTTTGGTTCAATGTATAAAAGCGAGAGATTAAGAGAACCTTCATTTTGTTCCCGAAATACAAGATCTTGTACTATCACTGGAGGAGGTAGACTGGATGTGTAAAGGCTTAATTCACAGCTAGCTAGCTGTGTTCTCTTCACCTGCTGGAGCTGTTGCTTATGATCACGACACCCAGGCCTCTGCCCAGAGGGTACATATTACAGTGTGGCTTAAAAATAATACAGATGTTCTCCCCACACATGACAATCTGGAATTATCATTTCTTTAAAGCCTATAACAGATATTTTAACATTTAACTTGTAAATTCTCCACCCCAATTCATATTTTCATGTAAATTAAAAACACATGCACTGACAA